TTTCGTGACTGCAGTAATTCATATTCTTAGCTCTTTCGGTAAAGTCACGTTGAAGGGAAACAATAAAATAAAAAAAATATAAATATATAAATATATATTTCTTTTTTTATTGTTTCCCTTCAACGTGACTTTGCCAAAAGAGCTAAGAATACAAAAATGCCTGGTTATTTTCCTATATTTATACATGGCCTACGTATGAACACCGTTATATTTTTAGCTGATAGTTTTTTTCTTTCTCTCATCAAGATGAGCAACTCATGATGTACGGTACATGCATTTAACGCCGTCATGTTTTTCTTTTTCTAACGTAGGCCTGGGCAGGACGCGTCGCCCCGGAGCCCAACGGCCGCAGTCCCCCCCCCCCCCCCCCCCCCCGAGGGCGCTTTGTGCCAGGCTAGGAGCGCCCCGGGGGCTTGGCGCGCGTGGAAGTGGCGTGGGGGAGGCTCGCCGCCGGCGGAGGGTTGGGACGGACGCGAGGTGTCACGGCACGGACGTGGGTGTTCCGAATTAACTGACCCAAGAAGACGGGCAGATGCGCCGAACCTGCGCTCCCCCCCCCAATGTGGCCAACTCGCCGCGTGTTTCCGCCGCCCGGCGCTCCGCTTGCGGGCAACCGCGAAAGGCAAAGATCCCCCGTGTAGCGTACGCAGAATCCTGGGGGGCAAAGTGCTGCCATGGAGGCCGGCAAGGCGCACGAGAGGGCGGTCGCGGCCAAAGCGCCACCCCGGGCCGCCGGCGTCTCCCCGGTGGCGACGTTTCACACGCCGCGCCAGGCACTCACTTGAGGCTGAGTCGACCTAGGGGGAGGAGGCTCAGGACCGGTTCAGCTAACCGTCACCGGCGTCGGCCGTGAGCGGGTCGCCGTGTTCCTAACCGCCGCACCCCCCGCTCCCCTGACGGCACGCGCACGTGCGCGCACGCACGCGAAGCCTAACACCGCTCCTCGGTATAACAACTTTCAGATGGGGTGAGCGGAGAGAAAGAGGGAGAGACGCCAGCAGCTCGCTACCGCTGCTACCGCTGCTACCGCTGCTACCGCTGCTCCCTCCCAGATGTTATCAGACGCCATCGGCCATGAAACAAGCTACGGGACAAAACCCCAATGACCTCACGCAGCGGGCAAATCAAAATCCGCGCGAATTGAGGTGTAGGAAGGCGATCCAGGAATGTAACGTCATGGCGGACGGAGCCACTGCCGTCAAAACGGACATTGGCTTTGAGACGATTTGGGGGGTGGGTGGCTAGGAGATGTTAACTACGACGCCTGGCATTCAGGAGGTCGTGGGTTCGATCCTGACCCTGATGCTTGCTGTGTATTTGGAGTTTGCGTGTCTCTCTCTCTCTCATCATCATCACGGTGGCTAGGAGATGTTAACTACCTCGCCTGGTGTTCAGGAGGTCGTGGGTTCAATAGCGACCCTGACGCCTGCTGTATAAGTGGAGTTTGCGTGTGGATCTCCCCGTGGTTCCATAGATTTTTCTCCGGGTTCTCCGGCTTTTCCCTCCACATTCAGAATAGTTAGTTAAAAAGTGTAATTTTTTTTCTAAAACGGTTGGTAAAAAAATTGCTGTCAAATCACGGTTTGCCGAGCGGAGAGCCGAAAGGGCCCAGAACGCCAAGCGTCTTAGCAAACAAAGGGAACGCTTAAAGTGATTTTTTTTTATTCACTGAAACAAATTAAAAGGCTCCGCCCATTTCCGGCAATCATAAAAGTAATAATACAGCAGCGTGTTAAGATGCTCAAACACAAAAATAGACACCGCCCATTAGCAAGGCCTCGCGTCCGCATCAGCCGCGCGTACTTGCGGCGAAGCACGCAAACCGACATGCTTTGGTAAGATCATGGACGCATCGCTCCTTGTTTTTTTTATAGTTCTCACGGGACGTCTGGCAGAAACATCACCGATCCGCGGAGCGCGCAAAAAAGAATTCCCCGGCGCGTGTCGTGCCGGGGCCGCCGCGAGAACCCGACACCGCGTCCATCCGGCGCCCGCCGAGCCGCGTCGGCACTTTGTTTCTTTTTGTTGCGGCCGCCCCGAGCGAACGCCGCGCCGGAAGGCCGCGCTCGTCGCTGCGCGCGGAGCGCTTCTCCGCCGCCGGTGGACCGCGATGCCTCGCAGTGAGCCGCGGTCGCCGCGCGAACTCCAGCCATCGGCGGCGGCGGCTTCTGGCTCGCCCGTCGGTCGAAGACGGCGGTCGGCGCACTCCCGCGGCCGTCTGGAACGCTTGTTCCTTCCGACGTTAGGAAGCAGACTGGAAGCTGCGCAATTTCAAATCATCGTCGTCGAGATTGACAAACTCATTCCTTCAAGAGCTGCTTTGAGCGCTTGGTTCGTTGTCCTTGGCCCGCAGCTCCGATGAGCACGGTTGGCCACGGTACGGTGCGAAAAGAAGTGCAGCGCACGTGCATACACCGCACCTCCGATTAGCACGATTGGTAAGAAGTCCGGCATACTTACGGACATGCATACGGAAATTTATGGCGGGGTGGGGCAGGTTGGGTTGATGAGTTGACTTGTTAGAAACCACGACCATCAAAGTTGCCTCGATCGTTTGATGTGGGGAGACCCTACGGCCGGGTGTTGCGTTACAACCAAAGCGGCGCTTTATCGCTGCTCCCCCCCTCGCCCTCCCCCAACCTCCCCCCCCCTCCCCCCCCCCACGATAGAATGTTCAGCTGGCAAGCCGGAGAAGAGAGCTGGACAGGTCACCTCGCGTCACCACCCGACCCCACCTCTCAGGCCGAACCGTGCTCGCTTTCTCCCCAACGGCCTGAAACGCGACGTCCCTAGCGTGCGCGTCTCGCCTCCCATCGGCGGTGAACACGGTGGCGGGATGTCGACTACCTCGCCTGGTATGCAAGGAGGTCGCGGGTTCGATCATCATCACCGCCGTCATCGTCACCATCATCTTCGCCACCATCATCATCATCACGAACATCACCGCAATCATCATCACTATCATCATCGCCATCATCATCACCACCATCATCACTATCATCATCACCATGTTTTTTTTTTAAATGCCCACTGTCCCTCCGGCGGTCATCTGACCAACCAGCCACCCGGCCTGGCAGCGAGCCAGCCAGCCAGACAGCCATCCAGGTCTGAGACCGGCTGGCAGGGCCGGCGTGTGTTGGGGCTGCCGTGCAGGCGGGCGCACACCCAACAGCTCGCAAGACATCTGGCCGGCGTGCCGGAGTAGGCCAAAGTGACCCTTGAAACGGCGGGTGGGGGTGGGATGGGGGGGAGGGGGGCGGTGGGATCGGAGGAAAGGGGGGAGGGGCTCTTCAAAGCCGTGACGACGCAGCGAATACAATTTAAATAACCTCCTCCTCCTCTTCGTGAATTTTTTTTTTTTTAAGTCGATTTTCAGAAGCCGGAGAAAAGAGCTGGACGCTGAACCTCTCATCCCCCCCCCCAGGGCCCCTAACCCCCCACAAGCCCCCCCCCCCCCACCAGCCCCCCCCCCCCACGGGAAGTAGATTCTCCCACAGCGATGAACCAACCGACGGGACGACACGGGACCCACGGACGCCACGCTCCCCTCCCTAAATGCCTTCAAGGCCGACCGGACGCCGGTTTGCAACCCGCGGCTCACCGCCGCCGCAGGAAGGGAACCGCCGCCTTCCCCAGGCGCGGCCGCGCGTCCCCGACGACGGACATCTGCGGGGGGGGGGCCCGTGTGGAAACGGCGGGGCCGCGAGCACGTGCACGTGCGGTCGCTTCGCTGTGCGTGTCCGCGAGCTGTAGCGAGCGGGCGCGCGTGTGCCGCGCCGCTGCCTTGCGCTGGTGCGCGTGCTCTGCGTGCGTTTCGCGCGCCCTGCGGATAAAACACGCGCTCGCGCACAACCCGCTGGCGCGGTGGTTCCTTCTGTCTTGATGCGCAGTGCGTACACGCGTCACACACGTGCTTGGCCCTGCGTGTGCCTACGGTGCTCGCACACGACGCGTGGCCGCCACCCGCCGTGTCTTCCTACGGATGCTCTCGGCTTCGTTTGCCAAAGTGCATTCGTTATTGACGCCCGCCTTGCCTCTGCCCGTGCGCGTCTGCCCGTGTGCGTCTGCCCGTGTGCGTCTGCCCGTGCGTCTGCCCGTGCGTCTGCCCGTGCGTGAGCCCCTGTCAGGGCTCGCTCCGTCGCCCGACACGTCGACCGTTGCGTATTTATCCTTTTTAAAAGCCGTTGCCCTTCACCGGACGTCATTCAGCAACGACGTCTTGAGCGCCCGACTGCTTTCGCTCGCCAACGGCACTTGAGCCGACGGTCTGTGTGGTGATGTGTGGTGATGATGGTGATGGTGGTGGCGGTGGCCGTGACGTCAGTGGCGATAGCGCTGGTAGCGCTGGTGGCGCTTGTGGAGGTGATGATTATGACGGTGGTGGTGGTGGTGATGATTATGACGATGGTGGTGGTGATGATTATGATGGTGGTGGTGATGATTATGACGGTGGTGGTGATGATTATGACGGTGGTGAAGATGATTATGACGGTGGTGGTAATGATTATGACGGTAGTGGTGATGATAATGACGGTGGTGGTGGTGATTATGACGGTGGTGGTGGTGATTATGACGGTCGTGGTGGTGATTATGACGGTGGTGGTGATGATTATGACAGTGGTGGTGATGATTATGATGGTGGTGGTGATGATTATGACGATGATGGTGATGATTATGATGGTGGTGGTGATGATTATGACGGTGGTGGTGATGATTATGACGATGGTGGTGATGATTATGACGATGGTGGTGATGATTATGACGGTGGTGATGATTATGACGGTGGTGGTGGTGGTGATTATGACGATGGAGGTGATGATTATGACGATGTGGTGATGAATATGACGGTGGTGGTGATGATGATGACGATGATGACGGTGGTGGTAATGATGATGGTGCTGGTAACGATGATGATAGTGGTGCGGTTGATGGTGGTGGTGGTGGCCTTGGCGGTGGTGGCCTTGGCGGTGGGCGGTGTGCGCGGTTGGCGGTGCGCTCACTTGGCGTAGTAGTCCATGTGCTTGGGGAAGTCGATCTTGCACGCGAGGATCTTCTGGTACGTCCCGAAGGGGTTGTCGTCGAAGAACGGCGGGTGCCTGCGCGGACGCACGCGGACGGGAGCACGGCGGGGCGCGTCAGGGCGGTGCCGGTGACGACGCGAGCGCAGACGCAACGAGAGGCGGTGACGACGCACGCGGCGGCGGGGACGCGCCGGCGCCGCCAGGGCCACCGGCGCCGCCATCGTCGCCGCCGCCGCCAGCGTCACCTTCATCACCATGGTCGCCACCACAACCACCATCGCCGCCACCATCATCATCATCAACACAACCACCGGCATCATTATCACCACCACCACCACCACGACAACCGCCATCATCAGCACCGTCGCCATCATCATCATTAGCACCAGCGCCAGCGTCACCGTCATCGCCATCGCCGCCGGAGAGGTGTCCGTGGCCGCGTCTTCCGGCTCGCAGCGAGCTTCTGGCGCGGGTTGCGCCTAGAATTATAATAGTTTGTCGTCGTCGTTGTCGTCGTCATCGTCGTCGTCGTCATTTGCCGCCGTCGTTTCTGCCCTCTCGTCAGTTCGCGTGCGTCCGTGAAGAAGCGCTTCGGAGCTCGTCGGAAGCCTCCGGCGTGAATAAATATTCTGATTCTGACAATCCCCTCCACCCCACTATTGCCCCGCTGCCGGCTCGGGTCAATGGGCCTCGATGTGACTCTATGGATCTCTCACCAAACTCTGTGGAACGCCATGCAGCTGCATAAGTCCATATGCAACTATAGATGTCTATGTGACTCTATGAGTCTCTATGCAACTCTATGAGTCTCGATGCAACTCCATTGATCTCTATGCAACTATAGATGTCTATGTGACTATGAGTATCTATGCATCTCTATGAGTCTCGATGCAACTCTATGAGTCTCGATGCAACTCCATTGATCTCTATGCAACTATAGATGTCTATGTGACTATGAGTCTCTATGCATCTCTATGAGTCTCGATGCAACTCTATTGATCTCTATGCAACTATGGATCTCTATGCAACTCTATGCATCTCCATGTAACTCTATGAGTCTACACGCAAATCTACGGGTCTCTACGCAACTCTATGGATCTTCTTTGGTTCTTTCGGTAAAGTCACGTAGAATGATAATAAAATAATAAATTGATAAAATAAAATAACACAATAATATTCTCACGACGTTTCGGCCACAACACAAGCGGCCTTCATCAGGTGAAGGGGGCGAGACTGTCTGGTAGGACAGCGCTGGAGCGCTGTCCTACCAGACAGTCACCTGATGAAGGCCGCTTGTGTTGTGGCCGAAACGTCGTGAGAATATTATTGTGTTATTTTATTTTATCAATTTATTTTTTATTATCATTCTACGTGACTTTACCGAAAGAACCAAAGAAGATGAATCATTGCAGTCACGAAAGCTTTAAATCGAAACTCTATGGATGTCTATACAATATGATGAAAATCCATCCAACTCTAGGAGTCTCTACGCAAATCTATGTGTCTCTATGCCGACTCTACAAGTTCACACGTAGGCTTTCGCGACCAATATCATTCATAATAGATGTTTTTTAGTTAGATCGCGTAAATTCATAAATGTGTCGATATGGCTTGGCTCTCCAACACACAGGTGCGCTGTACTAGTACACTACACTATACACTACACTATACACTACTATACCACGACACTATACACTACTATACCACTACACTATATACTACACTATACACTACTCCTACTATACCACTACACTACACTATACACTACTATACCACCACACTATATACTACACTACCATACCACTACACTACACACTACTATACCACGACACTACACACGACTATACCACTACACTATACACTACTATACAACTACACTGTACACTACTATAAACTACACTATACACTACTATACCACTACACGACACTACACACTACTATACCACTACACTATACACTACTATACCACTACACTACACTATACACTACTATACACTACACTGTCCACTACACTATACACTACCATACCACTACACTACACTATACACTACTATACCACTACACTATACACTACTATACACTACACTGTCCACTACACTATACACTACTATACCACTACACTACACTACACACTACTATGCGACTACACTATACACTGCACGATACACTACTATACCACGACACTACACTATACACTACTATACACCACACTGTCGACTACACTATACACTACTATACCACTACACTACACTATACACTACTATACCACTACACTATACACTACTATACCACTACACTACACTATACACTACTATACACCACACTGCCCACTACACTATACACTACCATACCAATACACTACACTATACACTACAATACCACTACACTATACACTACACTATACACTACTATACCACTACACTATACACTGCACGATACACTAGTGCTGTACCAGTAACGAATTGGCGCACGTTCTGACCACGTGACAAACCTCACTAATTGGCTGTGTCGGGCGGTGGCGGCCGTGGCGGGTTTAGCGACACGGCAGTCATGTATTTACGGGATGTAACCCCCCCCCCCCCGAAAACACCGGCGTTGGCTGCCAGTCCCGCCACGGGAGCGGGATAATGCAAAGAGCAACACAGACGGGCGATGGGTGGGACTGGGAGATGGACGGAGGGAGAGACGGGTGGGCGTAGGAGCGGTGTCCTTCGCTAGCAAGGCCCCGCACGGCCCACTGGCACCGGCGCGGCCCACCGGCGCGGCCCCTGGTGGCACTTTAGTGCGGCCCCTGACGTGAAGAGAGCCCCCCGCATCGTCGTCCATCGTGCTGCTGTCACGAACCCCCCCCAAATGGCATTTCGAATGACGTGTGACACACACACACGCACACACGCACACCGATGATGTCTTTTCGGCAAGTGCCCCCCCAACTCCACGGACACCCCCTCCCCCATCTCGCCCCCCCCGCCACCGGCCCCCCCGCCCCTCTGCCCCCCCCCGCCCCGGTCCCCCCCGCGCCACTCCGCCCCCACCCCCGCACGACTCCGGGCTCTGAAAACGTAGCGAAGAGAACGCTGGCCGTGGGTGGGGCGTGCGACGATGGACGTCGCAGATGACTGCGAACGGGGGGGGGGGGGTGGGGGGGTGGGGACAGCTTCGGACGGAGGTGGACAGAGAGACGAGGGGGTGAATTAAGCGAGAGGGAAAGAATGCGAACGTCGGGGGGGGGGGGGTGTCTCACGGGGCGCGCTTCACATCGAAGTCACTCGAGGGAGCGGTGATTTCAGGCCGCGTCCTCGCGCGTCACCACGTCACCGTGTCACCGTGTCACCGTGTCACCGTGTCACCGTGTCACCGTGTCACCGTGTCACCACGTCACCGTGTCACCGTGTCACCGTGTCACCGTGTCACCACATCACCGTGTCACCACATCACCGTGTCACCGTGTCACCGTGTCACCGTGTCGACGCGGGCGACTGGGCCGGGAGGCCTCCGTCGTTTGGCCGCGGTTTCGCTCCCGAGGTCGCGGACGCGCACGTGTGTACGTGTGTGTGTGCGCGTTTGTGTGTGTGTGTGTGTGCGTGTGTGCGTGTGTGCGTGTGTGTGCGTGTGTGTGCGTGTGTGTGCGTGTGCGCGTGTGCGCGTGTGCGTGCGCGTGCGTGTGTGTGTGTGCGTGTGTGTGTGTGTGTGTGCGTGTGTGTGCGTGCGTGCACGTGTGTGTGCGTGTGTGTGTGTGTGTGCGCGTGTGTGCGTGTGTGTGCGTGTGTGTGCGTGTCTGTGTGTCTGTGTGTGTGCGCGTGTGTGTGTGTGCGTGTGTGTGTGGCGGGGCTGAGTGCACCGCTGGCCTCGGGCCAGCCGTGGAAATTCCACATTCCCACAGTGGGGGGCTGGGAGGAGGGGCGGGGGGGAGCGGGGGGGGGGGGTGCAGGGGCAGTTTCCCCCAAGGAGAGTCCACACACACACACACACCCGTGCGTGTGTGTGCGTAAATGGTGCTTAAGTGTGCACGTGTTTGAGAGAGTGCTTGGGGAGCGGTGGTGTAACGGCGGTTAGCACCACGAACCCCGGCGACCCGGGTTCGATTTCCCGCTCGTGGCCAACACCCGCGACGATTATCTGAACCGGCCCCTGGGCCACCCCTAGGTCGACCCGGCCCCAAATGAGTACCTGGTGCGGCGTCTGTCAACATCGTCGCAACCAGGAACCACCCAGTCCCTCGTGTTGCCGTGCCGGCCTTCGTAGGTGCTACTCGCTAACAGCGCTTGCCCCGACAGTCCGTTCGGGTTTGTACAGGGGATCTTTGTCCTTCTTAATATGGCACCTGGCAGACGCTGCGTGGCACCTGGATCTGTCCCGCGATCTCCTGACGGCAGCGAGCCTTTCACGCTTCATGTGACCTCAGAGTGCACCTAGCCTGGCACGAGCGCCTTGGTGGCATCACAGCCACTTGTGTAAGTTGAACTTCTTTCGCACCGTACCACCATCGGTGCGGGGGAAGGCACAACAAACTGAACCCACCAAAAACAGCGCTCAAAGAAAACGAGCCCGTCGATCTACGTGACGATGTAAACAAAACAAACAAAAAAGCGCGCAGCAGCCAGCGGCCTCCGAATATCGGGAGGGACGAGAAGAGCGTTCCAGACGGCCGCGGAAGCACGTCCGAAAGCCAACACAAAACGCCGGCTTGCTGCCGCCACCGTCGTCATCGTCGTCGTCATCGGTCGTTGCGCGCGATCTGACGCTCGCGTTCATTTCTCGGGGGAGGTGCCTCTGGGGAAAGCCGCGACGCACCCGAGCCGATGACGGAGCTTGCCCCCGCGAGTCGGTTAAAACTAAAGCACTCGCCTATTTTTTTCATTTTTATTTTACCAGGTGAGGCCCGTAATGGAGGTGCTTGGGTTAAGATCGCGCGAGTGTATACATTTCGATTTAAAGCTTTCGTGACTGCAAGGATTCATCTTCTTTGGCTGTTTCGGTAAAGTCACGTAGAATGAGAATAAAATAATACATTGATAAAATAAAACAATAATATTCTCACGACGTTTCGGCCGCAACACAAGCGACCTTCATCA